ACATGAGGTATTTTGGTATATTTGGTCATGACAGCGAAAGATTTTAACGATGTTGTCATTTTCTAGAGGGGTAAATATGGCGAAAAATTGTCATGACAAAAATCTGTCCAACACATGCCATTAAGACTACTGGTATGAGTATAAGTATTATTTTAAGCTATCTTTTCATCGAGACATCTGCAAACTGACAATTTGGAAAAAAGTTATGGCCACCACAATTTTACGGGCCCCCAGAATATAGGTCTATACGACCCCCAGAATATAGGTTGGTCAAAAACCCTGAACATGCCCAAAACCATGCTTTGGGATGCTCTACTTGTAGCTACTAGTCTCCTGAACCCACATATCAAGTTTTATCAAAATTGGATAAAAATTGGCCGAGTTATGGGATAAAAACAAAAACCATATGCCCATATTTGGGCATACGCACCAAATTTGATCGATTTTGGTCCATAAATTGGTCAAATATCAATATTTTTGAATGAAACCAACTTTATATGGAAGGTAAGCATATATTACACATTCTCTATGATTATCAGCTCAATATCTACCTAACTGTGGATTCTGTGTTCAAATAATCGCAAAAAATGAACAAAATCGCCCATATCTCAAACTGACTTCGCTCAAAACAATAGAACTCAATAGGGTTTCAATATTTTCACATGAAATTTTCAGAATCAACGTAGAATTGTCTCATGACCTTAAGTTTTGGGACAGAATTTTGAGTTAGGCCTTTGAAAAAATTTGGCGGCCAAAAATGTCTGATTTACAGTCATTGAGGTGCACATTGTATTGATACAGATAAAAACAGCCCCCCTCAATCATATCTAGGGACACTCCTTCAATCTTATTTAAGTATTTAGTTAAGATCCCTACTAAATGAGTGCATGAAAGCTTTTTAACTAGTAAAATTAAAGATTTTACTCATTACGGGTATATGGCCCCCAGAATATAGGTTTTAAAAAAAAAATAGCGACCAAGATTCTGCATTTTCTCTGTCACCCTGAGCATTAAGGAATGTGGGGTAGTGATGAGAAACAGTTAAAGAACATATGCTGAAGAGATGGCATCATCAAAATGTATGAAGGTGGAGTATTTGAGGACGATTTTTGCATACCTATATTCTGGGGGCCGTAGTTTTTGATTTTTTGCTATTAAGTATACTCTAAACCATTTCAATTTATACTCTAGTAGCAGGGAGGGATTGAGTGTGCACTTCGATGTACAGAGTTTTTTGATACTGAATCGGGTTAATTAGGTCATTGGTAACTCAAATCACCGAGGGGCACATTTTGTGTCGCTAGTCCCAACCCTGTGGGGGCCACGCCCATATTTCACATTAGGCGCATATATGGGAAATATGTATCTCAGCTTCTGAAGGTCTTAGAGACTCAAACTTTGGCTTAAAATGACCGAAATGCACATATTTATATTGACACTATGAAGGGTATAAAGGCCCAAAATGCTTACTTTTGGAAAAAATCCAGAAAAACCGATTTTCACTGGGGCGAGAGTGACCGGCGTTCACCTACCGCCGACCGGCGCCTGACCGACCTCCGACCGACCTCCGACCGACCAGCCTTGTCTGATCTATGACCAAAAAATCTACTCTAGAAGCTTATTGACATCGAGCATGAAGTTTGGTGTCTACAACTTTTCTAGAAACCAGGTCTTTTGTAAGGTCATTCTGGATCAGAATTGATAAGGTGCGCAATTTCTATCAGTTATCCCAACCCTAGGGGGAAATTTCTAAATTACCCTCAGGCGCAAATATATGACTTTTGTATCTCGGCTTCTGAACGTTGTAGGGGCCTCTCTTTTACCTCAAACTAACTGCAAAGGCCACATTTATTTACAAGCTATAAAGCAACATAGGGTTTATAGTGCTTAGTTTTGGAGATATTCATTAAAAACTGTTTTAACTTTCGTGCATCCTAAATTAGTAACACATGTACTTAATTTTGGTATCCCGGGCTAAAAAAGTCTTACAGACACTTCACTTGCAGCACAGCAAAATGTTCAGCATGAACACATTCAGATAATATTTATGGAGCAACACAATTCAGTTTCAGAAGCTCCTTCCAGCTATCCATCTCTCTGGTTACTTCAAACCACTTCAATTCCCAAATTTATACATGAAAATCTAACTATCTCGTTATATCTACCACAAGTTGGGCTCTCTCCTGTACTGTTTGGCTGTTATGGCTAATCACCTCCAATCCAACCTCATGTTGTAGAATCTCCTTCTAGCTACCTATAATTCTGCTACTTCCATGTCATGCCTATTCTACACAGCTACCACCAGCACGTTATAATTCTAGCTCTTTCTAGCAACCTCTGAATGCTACCTCCTGCTCTATACAGGTACCACCAGTGGGCAGAAACCACCAACTCCAGCTCTTTTCACTTATTTTGGCTACATCTATTTAGCTGCTACTGCAAGGCCCCCTGGCCCCTCCAACCTCTGCTCTTTCTAGCAAACTTAACTTAAGCTACCTCTTGCCTTTTATAACACCACCAGCAACAATTTATTCTGGCTCTTTCAGGCTGCATCAGCTGCATTCAACAATTTCCAGCTCATTGAGGAAGGGGAAACCTGCTATTTCTAGCAACCTCTGAATGCTACTTCCTGCTCTATCTAGCTTCCACCAACACCCACTAATTGTTGTTACTTGTTATGCTACCACTAGCACCTGCAAATTATAGCCCTATCCAGCAAACTCAGACTACATTATGCTATATCCAGATAGCACAAGCACCCTAAAGTTCTAGCTGGAGCCTGGAGGTAGCCGGAATTAGGTAAAACAGATAGAATTTGAGAGTGCTCATTTAACTGCAGAATAAGGATGGATGTAGCCCGAAGTAACTAGAAGAAGCTAAAATTTGTGGGTACCGTTTGCTAGTGTTAGCTGGATAGAGCAGAAAGTAGTCTGAGGTTGCTGGATAGTGCTAGAATTTGCAGGTGCTGGTGATAGCTGTTTGTTTGTTTGTTTGGGGACCGGTTTTTGGTACAACGGCCAATGAGCTGCAGCTGAACAGAGTAGGAGTAAGTCTGAGGTTGCTGGATATGGCTAGAATTTGCAGTGCTAGTTGTAGCATAACAACAATTATTGGGTGTTTGTGGAAGCTAGATAGAGCAGGAAGTAGCATTCAGAGATTGCTAGAAAGAGCTAGAATGGAGGTAGCAGAATTGAAGGAAACTAGAAGTAGATTCTACTACATGAGGTTGGATTGGAGGTAATTAGCCATAATAGCCAAACAGTACTGAAGAGAGCCCAACTTGTGGTAAGACCGGGATCCCGGCTTAATCCCGATCCCTAATCCCGGTCCCGGTCTTAATCCCGGTCCCAGCACTTTTTCCCATTCCCGGTCAAAAAAGCAGTCTCGGTCGATCCTTGGCTTTAACGAGATGGAAGCAACCAGAGGGATGGTTGGATGTATAAATTTGGGGATTGAAGTGGTTTGAAGTAACCAGAGAGATGGTTAGATGTATAAATTTGGGGATTGAAGTGGTTAGTGGTTTGAAGTAACCAGAGAGATGGTTAGATGTGTACATTTGTGGATAAGATAAGATAGCTGGAAGGAGCTTCTGAAACTGAATTGTGTTGCTCCATAAATATTATCTGAATGTGTTCATGCTGAACATTTTGCTGTGCTGCAAGTGAAGTGTCTGTAAGACTTTTTTAGCCCGGGATACCAAAATTAAGTACATGTGTTACTAATTTAGGATGCACGAAAGTTAAAACAGTTTTTAATGAATATCTCCAAAACTAAGCACTATAAACCCTATGTTGCTTTATAGCTTGTAAATAAATGTGGCCTTTGCAGTTAGTTTGAGGTAAAAGAGAGGCCCCTACAACGTTCAGAAGCCGAGATACAAAAGTCATATATTTGCGCCTGAGGGTAATTTAGAAATTTCCCCCTAGGGTTGGGATTACTGATAGAAATTGCGCACCTTATCAATTCTGATCCAGAATGACCTTACAAAAGACCTGGTTTCTAGAAAAGTTGTAGACACCAAACTGCATACTCGATGTCAATAAGCTTCTAGAGTAGATTTTTTCACTCTCGCCCCAGTGAAAATCGGTTTTTCTGGATTTTTTTCCAAAAGTAAGCATTTTGGGCCTTTATACCCTTCATAGTGTCAATATAAATATGTGCATTGCGGTCATTTTAAGCCAAAGTTTGAGTCTCTAAGACCTTCAGAAGCTGAGATACATATTTCCCATATATGCGCCTAATGTGAAATATGGGCGTGGCCCCCACAGGGTTGGGACTAGCGACACAAAATGTGCACCTCGGTAATTTGAGTTACCAATGACCTAATTAACCCGATTCAGTATCAAAAAACTCTGTACATCGAAGTGCACACTCAATCCCTCCCTGCTACTAGAGTATTAGTATCTGGAGCCATTGGCATCATCAATACAGTCTCAGCAACATATTCTGACTGCATATAACTGTCTGTGACAATTTTAGAACAACTTAGGAACAGATGTTTGGACCTATATTCTGGGGGCCCTGTTAACAAAATGGTATTTTTACAGGTGAAAAAAAAGTACACTTAAAAACCTAATAATTATTTTCAACTACCCAAGAAACATTTAAAGGGTTATTATGTACATATTTACAGCCCTAAACATGCTTAGAAGTAGTTTTAACACCTGTTTCTAAGTGCTCAAAAAACGACCTATATTCTGGGGGCCATATACCCGTACTTGCTTATCTAATAATTATGCCAGAATTATGTTGAACTGTTATTAAACACTGATATCTGGATATTATAAAAACTTTTTTCACAACTACAATTAAATACATTTATTGAGCCTGAAGATGGCGTTGACGCCGAAAATTTGCCCTTACTCCTAACTTCCTTGTTTTACTTGTCCTTGTCTCTTCCAACCGGATAATATCCAGATATCAGTATTTCAATCATGAGACTAATAAACAGCGAACTACTCCGTTTTTTGATGTTATTAAACAATCATTTTCTTCAGATGTCGTGATTGCGGAAACAATGGAGGATATGGACGAGAACCAGGATGGTAAAATCTCACTTTCAGAATATGTCGGAGAAATGGAAAACGACGATGACGACGATGACGACGAAGGTGATGACTTTTACCAACATTTTAATTCATTAATTTATCAAAATATATGCGCTCAGGCATCATTCATTTGTTGCTCCATAGATTTTAGAGGCGAGTTTGACAAATTCGTTGACAAATTCGTTTGACAAATTTGTTGACAAATTATTGATTTTCTTTTGAGTTTTTGTGTAATTAGCCTCAAAGCTCAATCATGGCATGGCAAGATCTGATCTCCATTTAGTTAAAGTTGTATATTCGCACAGAGCTGTTAAAATGTTAGCCTCCAAATTGGATTTGAAATACAACTTATCTGGACCTCATTTTTTAGCTAATGATTTATCTTACCGCGGTAGCAAACAATGTTATTTTATCATCGACCCAGCCAGAAAGTTGACACTCTGCACTTATTTACTCTCTCTAGCTATCGACCTAATGACCCATTATCATCTAATCATTTATCGTAACATCTTTTTTCTTAAGCTATTTACGAATATCAATGTCTGCCAGGTCTTAAGCATCGTTTAGCACTTTTCAGCCAATACGAAGAAGGCGATTACTACACGGATTCTAAAGCGCCATCCCTGTATTAACCACCAGTCGTTAGCTTTACCATTTGCCTGCAATTATATCATCCAAAGCCTTAGTAATTACATAGCGGAACAGGTTCTAAAAGTACTAGCAAGCTATCACTAGTTTTTGGACCTTAAAATCTGATAGCATTTCGCAGTGCGCAGAATATGATAACACGTTTCGCGCGCAATATTCCACGCGAGCATTTTGACAAGTATATCATACGTAAGCTATCACCCCGACCCCTTTAATTAATTCAATATACCTTTAAAATATTCACAGCATAATACACTGTATTAAATACAGCCACACGGAATGTCTGTATGATTGGCCCCTTATACTATATCACCCCTGGTACAATTGTTATGGTTTCTCATTCGATGATTTCAGATTGGTTAGAGCGAGAAAAGAAGAGTTTCCAGGAAAACAAAGACAAGGACCACGATGGTTACCTGAGCAAGGAAGAGTTGGCTGCCTGGATAGTGCCCTCTGAGATAAACTACAGTCTGGAGGAGGCACAACATCTGATAGAGGTAATATTTCTCTGTTTAACAATTAGATTTTGTAATGAAGTGGTTATTGATGGTATATGAAGCCATTATAGTTGATCCTGTTACACACTGCATACCAAAGATGACACACCCATGCATCTAAGAGTATCGAACTACACCCACAGTGACAATGTTGCTAATAAAACATCTGCTGGTCAAAGGTCTCTGTAGCTTAAATAGTCCGCAATTAGTGATACTTCTTGAAAGAAGTAAAAACTGTTCCATTATCACGTGACACTAATATCACGTGACACTAATATCACGTGACACTAATACCACATGACACTAATACCACATGACACTAATATCACGTGACACTAATATCACGTGACACTAATATCACGTGACACTAATATCACGTGACACTAATATCACGTGACACTAATATCACGTGACACTAATATCACGTGACACTAATATCACGTGACACTAATATCACGTGACAATAATATGTCGCTATTTCAGAAAGCGGACACTAACAAGGACGGGGTCCTGTCTTACCAGGAAGTGATTGAGCATCACGAAGTGTTTGTTGGGTCCCAGGCTACCGACTACGGCAGGATTCTCCATGAGGAGCTGTAGGAGTCTCACTGAGAAAAGCTGGAGCAATTTCAATCAGAGATAGTACTGTCTTTCAAACAGTATAAGAGACACATCTCTCTTCAAAGCTGTCTCTCTCCTCAACAGTTCAGGAGACATGTCTTCCTCCTTGCAGACTGGTTGATATTACTCCACTTTATCATGTTGGTTATGTAAAAGGGCTGGAGACAATTTCTCGCTGATTTTGAGCCATTAGGCTAGGAGTGCTTTCTTTACGCTGCCCCCTATTCATTGACTATGATACGCTAGTTAAATATTATTTATACAGTATATCTTTTGCCAAATTTAGTATTATATGTATAAGAACTGAAAATAGGTAATGTTTATTTTTTCGTATCGGCAATTTAGCGGTTGTCATATTAATAATACATGTATATTTTTTGATGATGTGATGCAAATTTGACATTTATTTCACCCGAGTTTTAAAATTAAGAGTGTGTGCGACCTATTTTACTTTTAAACGGTTTTTGGAACGAGGAACAATTCCATATTTATTTTAATTACCTCATTTATTAACCTTATTATTTGAACACGATAATTGTCATGACCATTGAGGATGGTGGAGTTCAATATTTATATAGTTATAATTGTTTTGTTCGTGTTCTCTTTTCTAAAGGCTACCATACGTATTATAATTGGTAATCTATAATGCTAATTTATTAAGTTTAATTAAACGAATATTCCGTGACCAACGAGTTTCTATTGTTCGACCCCGCTGTCCTTAAAAACTGCACCACTTAAACAACACGTCATCGGTAAATGGCCATCATGGTTTGATGAACTATAATCAACGAAATATCACGTTTCACGTTGCACAGGTAATCAAACGTTGATAACCGATTGGTTAAACGTCCTGAAGGTAAGCGTTCTCATTGGTTAGACCATGTCACGTGGCGGTCGTGAGAAACTGTAAACTGTGCACTAGCTGGTATTTAGACAGGTCCCCTCAAGTAGGCCAGCAGTTATTTGTTTGTAATGTGAGCGCCTGTGCCGTGACTTTCATGTTCCATCAATCTGAACGATTCGACACATCTACAGTCGAGGTGAACTGTGCGGAAACCGTTTAACCTGACGACTCCAGCTTCTCTCTCTCTCTCTCTCTCTCTCTCTCTCTCTCTCTCTCTCTCTCTCTCTCTCTCTCTCTCTCTCTCTCTCTCTCTCTCTCTCTCTCTCTCTCTCTCTCTCTCTCTCTCTCTCTCTCTCTCTCTCTCTCTCTCTCTCTCTCTCTCTCTCTCTCTATCTCTCTCTCTCTCTCTCTCTCTCTCTCTCTCTCTCTCTCTCTATCTATCGAGCTTCCAGTGCAATTGTTTAATAATTTCGCGAGCTTTTACATTTTAGGCTCTAGCGGCCAGTTTCTCGTGGTGATATAGTTGCAACAAAGAATGAGATCCTCATGTAAAACCGTTCAACCGTAAAACTGGCTGAGCCTGAATAATTTGATTATCTGAATTCGCTTCTATTTAACACCAGGTGTTCACTTCATAATATATATATATTATATTATATATTATATTGTATATATAATATATATAATATATATATATAATATTACCTGGGGATCCCAGGCTATTATGTTCATAAACGAATAGAGATTCAGCGGAATTACACTTACAGGCTGAGCGCCGCCTAGTAAATATAATATAGCACTTGAAGTAAAGGAATTAACATTGTTGAACCGTTAACGTTAAGTCGTGTGCGATGGTAATAGTTGATAATTTTCTAGTGGTTCTCTTGCCGGTGTCCACCATTAACCCTTTAATGGAACTCAAATACAAAATAGGGTCCTAATATTTTACAAAAGTCGTAAATAAAGTTAATATGTGGGTCATTTAAACTTTTAAAAGGTAAAATTACTAACAACGAGCATTAGTAAATTTAGTAAATTGCAATTTTAGTTCTTAGCTCCTGAATCTTAGCCAAATTATCTCCCAGCCTTGCACAATTATGAGTTGTTGTTCCATGCGGGCATTAGCATTAGTAGTGCACCGACCTTCTAGTGCTCCGGTGAGATAAATGTATTGAACCACTATATATTCTACTTTCTT